GTGGGTGTCAGTCTGCTTCATGTATGGATTGGAGGGGTTTAAAGTGGCTAATGATGCAGCTGCGGTCTGGCTTCTGGTCCTTGGTCGTGGCTCATTATCAGTGTGGGTTTGAGTCTGCTTTCTGCGTGGATGTGTGGTGGTGACATCCTGTGTGGCTCTCGTGAGTGTGGGTCTGGTGTCATTCGTCGTGTTAGGGACTCGTTTGTCAATAAGGGCGGGTTTCCAAATGGCTGGTAGGCGGGAGGTATCGTCTCGTTTGTTCGTGCTGTGTGGGCGTTTTTCTATCTCGATGGCTTCTCTGATTATTCTGTTGTTAAAGTGTTCAGTTTTGGCGATAGTTCTGGTCTTTTTAAAGTCAATATCATGTCCTGTGGCTTTAAGGTGTTGGACCAGGGAAGAAGTTGGTTCCTCTTTTCTGACTGAGTTCTTGTGTTCTTCTATGCGTGCACTTATTCGTCTGTTGGTTTGTCCGATGTATGTGGTGGGGCAGGCGGTGCATGGGATTTCATATACTCCTTGATTTTCTAACTCAATTTTGTCTTTAGGGTTCCTTAGGATGGTGGATATTTTTCGGTTTGTGCAGAATGCTGTCTTGATGTTATGTTTGTGGAGGATTTTGCTTATTCTGTCTGTGGTGCCTTTTATGTATGGGAGGAGGGCTTTGCCGTTTTCTTGTTCTCTGTCTTGGATTTTAGTGGGGGTTTCTTTTTGGATTAGGTTGGTGATTTTATTTCTTTGGAATCCATTGGATGTTAGTACGTTAGTGAGAGTGTGTAGTTCAGTTTTTAGGTGTTGTTCGTCAGCTAAGCGTTTTGTTCTGGAAATGAGTGTCTTGGCTACAGAGTTGATCTGGGCAGGGTGGTGGTGTGAGAGTGCGTGCAGATAGCGGTTTGTGTGTGTTTTCTTCTGGTAGATAGTGTGTCCTAGGGAGCCATTGGATTTTCTGTAGACTAAGACATCCAGGAAGGGAAGTTGGTTGTTCGCTTCTGTTTCCATGGTGAACTGTATTTTGGGGTGTAGGCTGTTGAGGTGTGTGAGGAAGTTGTCCAGTTTTTCTTTCCCATGTGGCCAGATTATGAAGGTGTCATTTACATATCTGAGCCAGAGTTTGGGTTTGTGATCAGATTTTTCTAGAGCTTGGGTTTCAAAGTATTCCATATAGAGGTTGGCAATGACAGGTGAGAGGGGTGATCCCATGGGTGCTCCTTCTATTTGTTTGTATTTCTGTCCATTATAGATGAAGTATGTGTTGGATAGGCAGTGGTTGGTCAGATCTAAGATGTGCTTGGGGGGGTTATATTTGTTTTGGATAACTGTCAAGGCTTCTTTGATTGGTACTTGGGTGAAGAGGGATATGACATCGAAGCTCACCAGCTCAAATCCCCCTGCAACTCAGACTAAGCTGAGCACAACCAAGCCCCCACCCAAACAGAACACACCCCCAGCCAATCAGAGCACAACCAACCCCCCATCCAATCAGAGCACAGCCAAGCCCCTAACCAATCAGAACACACCTCCACCCAATCAGAACACAGCCAAGTTCCCACCCAATCAGCTCACACCCCCACTAGCAGTTAAAAGGAAGAGACAGCTGCGATCTCACATTGCTCCTGGAAGCACGAAGCCGAGAACACCAGCCTGAAGATGACGAATGAGACTTCGTCGAAACGTCGCCAAGACACTTCCAATTTTACGTGGGAGAAGACCCGAATAACCAAAGACCTACATACAAACACCCGCGAAAACCTCAAAAAAATGGTTGGAGACTAAATAGGAATTGTCCAGGATCACTGGGTTCAGTAATTATCTTAAGAAGAGGGTTCTTCAACACCCTTCAAGGTGGGACTGCACACTGCAGACATAACCAATGGTGGAATTCAAATATTTTTACTACCAGTTCTGTGGGCATGGCTTGGTGGGCTTGGTGTGGCTTGGTGGGCGTAGCAGGGGAAACATACTGCAAAATCTCCATTCCCACCCCACTCCAGGGGAAGGATACTGCAAAATCCCCATTCTCTTCCCCACTCCTAGGGGAAGGATTTTGCAAAATCTCCATTCCCAACCCACTCTGGGGCCAGCCAGAAGTGGTATTTGCCGGTTCTCTGAACTACTCAAAATTTCCGCTACCGGTTCTCCAGAACCTGTCAAAACCTGCTGAATAGCATCCCTGGACATAACCACATGGGCCCAACCAAATAGGTTTGTTGTACACTGAGCGAAGGATACAGACAGAGCTGGGAGGTTTCTGTTAAATCTGATGGATATTTAAGTGCATCAGAGCTACATCTTTCCCTCATGTTTTTAAACTGCTTCATGAGCTACATAATGACGAGGTCATCTAGACATTTAAGCTAAAATGGACAATATCTCATATTTCTATTTGTTAATTCCCCCTGAAGAGAATACAACTAAAATGTCCCCCTGATATTTAAACTGATATCTGAGAAACTTGGGGAGGAAAACTCAAAACTTAATAAAAATATTAAAAATGAAATATGGAAATCAGCTGATCAGGATAATAATACCTGCTGACTATGTTCCCCAAATTACAATGTTTTTTATTATTGTTTTAGCGATCTTAAGACTTTTTCTTTAGGCAACAGTTTTTATTGCAGGTTTATCCAGAGCAGTTGATGAGAAAGCCTTATTGTATCCAATTAATTTCATTGCAATTATATTTAATGCACTTGAAATAAAAGAATAAAGCCATTGGTATTATAAGAGGATGTTTGAGGCTGTGCGAAAATATGAAGTTATAGATGCTATCAAAGTGTTGTAATAATGAACACTTCCCTGTGGATCAAAGCTTTAAAATGCTGATATTAGACCTAGAGAATATAAGGATGAATTCTGAGTTAACAAATGCACTGAAAATTAAATGAAACAGCTTTACAAACAGTCAATTAAAACCATCTATGTAGCTCAGAAATACAATAAACAAAAGCAGCTATTTTTATAATGTGGAAATTGAGGCTTTGCTAAATATTTGGAGGAAGTGGAAATGTTTACTGTGCCTGCCATGGTTACAGGCAACTTGAGCCAGACAGGGTCTTCAAAGCAACCTTCCACGGAATACAGCTGCTTTAACCGTTTAGAGATGGTAGACAACCATTTTTCACACTTATGACAGTTACAGCGTCCCTATGGTCACGTGATCAAAATTTGGATGCTTGGCAACAGGAATATGTTTATAATGGTGGCAATGTCTTGGGTCATGTTTTACAACTTTCTGACAAGCGAAGTCAATGGGGAAGCCAGATTCATTTAAATTTTCAATGAGTCATGTACATATTTATGTCAGTTATCAATCTTGTTCTAACATGATCTTAATTTTTTAAAAATTTTAATAGTACCCTGGAGGTCCTATATAGAGTATCTTTGTATATGGAATAAGTATATTAATAAAGAAAATAACATATGAACAGATAAAAGAGGTACAGTTACTAATGTTCAGATATATGGATTCTTATATTCCATATAAGATAGCAATGAATGGAACGATGCAAGTTTCAAGGTGGAGTAGGATTCATTTAACAATTGTGGCAAGAAAGGTTCTAAAAATGGGGCAAAACTCACTTAACAACTGCCTTGCTTAGCAACAGTAATTTTGGGCTCATTTGTGGTTGAAATTCTATTCCTTTTTGCATTTTGATCTTTTGATTCCTTTAAAGGCACCATATGTTATCGGAGCTCTACCACTCTCCATCTCTATCTCCCATACTTTGGGAGATAGGTGGTGGTAGCAGAGACGATCTCAAAGCAGAAGACAGAGCCATGGTAGGAGCAACCTGAGTGGTTTTGGAAAAGAAGGTTTGTGACAACCCTAAAATTAGACCAGAACATGAAACTGTTCTATAGGCTCCATAGAAAGACTATAATTATACTTTATTGAGATAGGTGATAGTAATAGAATCTTGCCTTTCTGCTTTTGTTTTACCTTCTCTCTCTCTCTTATCTCATTAAATCAGCCTGAACTGCTTCCAAAACAATGTTCTACTGTAAGGAATGTTGTTGGACCCTAAATATTTCCCCCGAATATTTCCTTTAGGGGAATTTCCATGGATCTGTGCCTTCAGCCTTACATCCTGCAGGCTTAAAATCCTCTACAAATTATTTGCTGTGATTATTAATATAGAGGAGAAATTCTTTAAAGATTCTCTAGCGATAGCAATAGAGATATTTATTACTAGCAATAAAAATATTTCAAGAAATCCAAGTGGTTCTTGTTTTCTGACTTTGCCAGTCTCCTACAGCTTGACATTAATCTTAAAAGCCTACCATACAATATTATACCTGGTGTCCTTACTAGAATTGCTCTGGGTCTTTTTCTCACACTTTCCCCTACCCTTAGACTTAAAATTCTCCACTGCAAGAATCTTATCTTGCTCCTTGGTTTGCTAGTTTCCCATTAGTGTTCATGAAAAAGAGGCAGTTTTCAGTCTTTTAAATTATCCAGATATTGCAGAAATAATACACTACTGAGAAAGGAATTTGTGTGAAATTAACTCCTCATATACCCAGGTCATGTGGCTGGATTAACAGAGCAATAATAATATTATTTAACAAAAATTGGAGGCAATGTCTGTGTTTCACATTCCCTTCCGTTAAATCTCATAATAAAATATCCAGAAAAGTCAAGAAGAGATTTCCTTGATCAGAAAAAAGACAATATTTATTGCTGACTGGAAACGGCTTATAGACTTTTTGTGTGAAACAGGAAAAAAATGAATTTATAAAGAGCCTATGTTTTAATTTATATACTTATAATTGTACTTATAACTTCTGTAAAGAAGATCAGAAGCTACTCTTTGTATCTTTTTTTCTGTTTTTCTATTACTTTTTTCTTCTCTTACACTTTTATCATTCTAATTTTTCCTTTCTTTTTCTTACTTTATATTAGTTTTAGTTTTTCTTTTAAAAATCTTTAATACATCTATAAATTAAAAAAGTAAGCAAAAGAAGACAAGAACAGGAGAAATTAAAATTAGGAGTCAAATTAATATGGTTAGGATATCTATTACATTTATTTTTGTTTTCCTTCTGCAACAGTCAGCTTTCCACAGAAAAATTAAACTCTTTTTTACATTTGACATATTTAGGTTTAGTAATATTTATTTGCTGTATTTAGATCAAAATTTTGTGCAATAGTCCTTGCTTAAGTACAGTAATCGGGATCAGCAACTGGATTAGACACAGTTGTAAATGTGTTGTTATGCAGGTGGATTGACTTATGATAGTAGTTGTGGCAATTCTCATTGCCACTGTTAAATGAATTCTGCACAATTGTTATGTGTAACATCACATGATCATTATTTGTGACTACCTGGTGGCTTCCCTTCTTTTCTCTCTACCTGTGTTGGTGTGTACAAGTGTGAATTTCCTGTTACTAGCATTCATTTAGATTGGCAGCATGCAATCAATTAATTTTCTGTTACGATTTATGATTAAGATTTCAATGAACAATACATAATTACATTTCAAATTGATTTCAGTATTTAATAATATATATGAAAATCTGTGTATATGGGTGTGTGAATAAACACACACAAACATATGTATGGTTGAAGAAGTAGTGTGATTAAGAGCTTGTTGATTTCTATACAATAAAAGGTCATATTTTAGATTTCTTTCTAACATCTATGCAGTTGTCTTATAGTTCTAAAATATTTTGTCATAAATCTGAATAGAAATGAATATGCTATCAGCAGGTTTAAGTAATGCAATTAAGCTTAGAAATTTATATAAATTTTGTCAGAAACTTCTTGAAATAATTTCTATTCCCCTTTCAGATTAGGGATTAGAGATATCAGAGCAGAGATTACATAAAACTCATACATTTATTACAAGTAAATAGAATGCCTTGTTTCTAAGAGTGGAATTGTTTTAGACTGGAGCTGATAGCTTTTTTCCTTGATCTTCATGTCTTGCAGTAACGATCATAGTTTATCAATTTTCCCACTTTGGTTCCTTCTAAGCGCTCTTTAAATACGGTGTCCATCTCCTTGTTGTTTGCTTCACTAAAAAGTGTTTTCCAGTCACTTACTCCACCTGTAAACAAACAATTATTTTCCTTTTCTTATATGAAAACCACACATCTTGTACTGTCAATAAGTATTTGCCTAAAGTCTGCAATACTATTGAATACTCGGAGAAATAAATAATAATTAGCTGTTTTACAAATGCTTTTTTCAAATGCTCCATACCTGCCTTTCTGGGTATATTTCCATCCATCCATCCATCCATCCATGCATTTTATATATAGCTGAATAGCTCAGAGTGCATAGTCCTTTGCAAATATATACTGTCAATTTATAAGCAGATGGAAATGGCTGCTGTTTGTACTTATTTATTTTGTGGATGTTTTATTGTTTTAATGTTTTTAAGTTGTTTTACTTATAATTTTAGAAATAGTTAAGTCACCAATTAATCTTTAACAATTTAAGAAGATGTTGGTTAACCATTTGTCTGAAGTGGTGTAGGGTTTCCTTTCTAAGCAGGGAGTTGGACTAGAAGACCTCCAAGGTCCCTTCCAACTAATACAGATACTACAAATTTGATTTTAAAAGTGATTTTTTTAAATCTTTGGCAGTTTCCTGTAGTTAAAAATATATACAGTAATTATCCAGTGTTATTCAGAGATGAAGTAAACGTTGTACAACTATTACTTCTCTCTCTCTCTTTAAAAAAGGAATGATCATGGACATAGAATTTGGACGTTGGGAGTTTATTCATCATCAAATCATTATAGACAGATTAAACTCTAGCATGGCTAACCGGATTTGTAATTATTATGCTTCTCTCGTTTTGTGTCCACCTCTATTTAAAAATAATAATAAAAGTTTATTCCTTTTTTCTATATTCTAAACAGAGCATAGTTCTCCTTTAAATTAATAGATTTGATCATGCATTCTGTGATGGCTGCTGAATTCTTTATTTTTTAAAAAAATGCAAATGCTCAAGAGCAAATTAGTTAGAATTTCATATCATTTTCTCTATCTATGGAATAGGGATGAATAATTAATTCTCACTAAAATAGGATATCATATTTACCAGTAGCTTCAATGATGTAACGAGTGCAACATTATGGATTTTCAAAAGTTACCTTTCCGGAAAAGAACTTCACCAAATTCTCCATGGGTTGTTTTAGATTTTTCTTTCATCGTCTTAAATGTGCTCCTTTCTGCAACACCTTGAAAGTCTTCCTCATTTAAGTTCAATTCAAGAAATGTGGAAATCTTTTTGGCTCCTAACGCTGGGTTCTGAAAAAGTGATCAATTTGTATTGCTGGTGAAAAAAAACCCCTCATTTATTTAATGTCCCATTTCTAAGACAGATATCTGACCAACTTTGGGAAGGGAATGATGCAATATATCTTCATGTCTAAGGTTCCCTCTGGTTTTCTCATTCTAAATGAGATGCTATGCTCATTCTAAATGCTATAGCTACATTCTGCACCATGCCTGCATGGTTTCAGTTACAATCAGAAAGTTCGACATGAATATATAAATATATGTATAAATACACACACACACACACACATTATTATAGGGAGCAAATACAATTTCCCCATGCTCAGTTTGATCTCATTTCATGTTCATGGATGTTGGTTTATGCTGTGGTTGGCTGGTTGGCACTGTTATTTTTACTTCTTTCCTAGAGCAAAAAGGGGTGAAATAATTATTTGGGGAAAAAGAATCAATAAACAACACAGAGTTTCCTTAACTGAAAATCATATGTGCTAACTGCTGGAGGATCATGGGTCTTTCTTGATTATGAAGTTCTTACAGGAAACCTGGAGGTCATTGATCATCTATTTTTTTTTTCTTGATCATTTTGGTAATAAGAATAGAAGGCCAGTAAAAGAGATTCAGTTAGTTGGACTTTTTAACTGTTTCTATAGAATGCATTTAAGGAAACTCTAGAATATTTTCGCATGAGACGTATACTCTGGCAGAAATGTTAAAGAAGCTTAACTGATATTTAGAATGGATTCTGAACATCTAGCAGTGATTAGAATTCTGATCTGATTTGTTCCAGAAAGATATGGTGTTAAATTCCTACTACACCCTGAAATTCGCATTGTTCTTTCTCTAAGTCTTTCCATTCATTACTGTTTGTGAATATAAGAATCCATATATCTGAACAGTATTAACTTTACCTCTTTTATCTCTTCATATGTTATTGGCAAGACATTTTCTTTATCAATATACTTGTTCCATGTACAAAGATATTCTATATAGGATCCCCAGGGCACTATTGAAATTTAAAAAAATAATTAAGATCACATCTGAACAAGATTGATAACAGACCTAATAAGTATATGACTCATTGAAAATTTAAGCTGGTCTCTGAATATCATTTCTATAGAGTCTAGTTTTTTTCCAATCCTTTTTCCTCAATTCTAATGTCCCTGAATATTGCAATTATCTAGAAAAAATACTCTATTCTTTTAAATTATGTCTGGTATGTTAGTTAGTAATCAATTTACATATGAAAATCACATAAAAATTAACATCATCGGTAGTGTTTAATTTTGTGATGATACCAGATTTAGGAAACTCAGAAATTATAGTTTTGCATAGATGCCAATGTATTGTAGTACTTATTCAGTTCTGACATGGTTTATAATCTGAGCATAAACAAGCATATACAAGCAATATAAGTTAATTGGAAAATTGATACGGTCATTATTATTCCAAACCTTCCATCTAAATAACACTCTCGAGATATAATAGATTTCTTTTTGCTAAATATTGGTAACTGGATTTAAGCCAAAATAATATGTATCTTTCTTTTTTCATTTGGCCTATATGTAACAATGACTTAACATGAAATTACATTAGCTGCCAGAGGTTAGAATGAAATACCTTGAAAAACTGAATTACAGTTTTGGAAATAGCAGTAGCAATAGCACTTAGACTTATATACCACTTCACAGTGCTTTACAACACTCTAAGCAGTTTACAGAGTCAGCATATGTCCCCCAACAATCTGGGTCCTCATTTTACCGACCTCAGAAGGATGGAAGGGCTGAGTCAACCTTGAGATGGTCAGGATCGAACTGCTGGCAGTGAGCAGTGAGTTAGCCTGCAATACTGCATTCTAATCACTGCATTACCATGGCTCATCTACTTCTCTGGGCCTCTCAAATGGAAAAAGGCCAGCATACAGAATGAATGAGTGAGTTAATGAATGAGTGAACATATTTTTCTGCTATTCTATTGATTTATTAGTTGGATTTATATTCTGCCTTTTGTGCAGAAGTTCAAGGCCACATACATAGCACACCTTCTTATTTTTTCCTACAATAACAATCCTGGTAAGGAGACTGGACTGAGGCAATGAGAAATGTTTGCTACTCTTTCCAAATAATATTATTTGTTCCTATATCAGAAAAGGAATCTGTTCATAGGATTAACTATGATTTTTTGAAATAAGCTGAGAACCTGAACTCAAATTTGAAGTGTGTCTGCTTGAACAAAGCATACAGTAATGAATAAAAAATAATGATCAAGATAGACAGGTACCGTATTTTTTGGAGTATATGACGCACCAAAGTATAAGTCGCAGCTTAGTTTTTGGGGAGGAAAATGGGGGGGGGGGAAATCTGCCTACCAGGTATTCATCGACCTTAGTCTGGTCAGCTTCAGCACATTAGTTTGCTGGCTTTGAGCACGCCTGTGCGCTTCTTATCCCCTGCTTGGGGATATAAAACAGCTTCTAAGGAGCTAAACAGCTGAGAGGGAGTAGCAATGAGAAAACCAGGCAAGGCTTGGAAGATCGCTTCACTCGCTGGCACCTCATTAGGGCTTAGAAAGCTACATTCAGAGTATAAGAAGCACCCAAATTTTCAGCCTCTTTTAGAAAGGAAAAAGTGTGTCTTATACTCCGAAAAATACGGTACTGTGTTGTTCATATCTACAGACATTAAACAATTGGAATGAATAAAAATTCTACTTTTTCCTATCATTAAAGCTCGGAAGAACTCTTCAAATGTATCATAGGGAGGATAAGGACTGAAGTTGTTTGAAAAATGGAAAAAAGATGCAGCAACATCTTTTGGATTTCGAATCAGCATCAGCACCTAAAAACCAAAAAACATTAGAATATCAAATGAGAAAGCATAGATTATATCTCCAAAATGCACCAGATTCTCAAACTACCTTTTAATCACTGAAATCTTATATACACTTGCCTGGGTGAATACCCGAATCACATTCAGTTCCTGGTATCTTACTTGGTATATTAATACAAAGATGTTAGGGAACAGAATGGCCTAGTGAGACATTATATTGCCAGATTAGGTGGGTGGATGGCAAGATTGGAAGTTTTTGAAAGTAGCTTGCCCTTGCCTTCTTCTTAGGCTGAGAGGGAGTGACTGGTCCAAAGTCACCCAACTGGCTTTATATCTCATTTAGCCCGATGCCTTAGCTACTACACCAAACTGGCTCTCTAGATTAGTATGGAACCTCCATTTCAAATCTAGTTACAATTACTTCCCCAAATGATGCCTCTGAATTACTAAAGGGCATAGCTTTAATTTGGAAACAGTCATATCCTAAAATGCAATTAAGTTGCACTGCAGTAATTATAATTATCCAAATTTAAAGGACTTATCAACAAATAATTATAGTAAACACAACTATTTACTACCCAGTCATCCATTTGTATGGTACATAATGATTATTATATTAAGCATGCTCTTGCTTATCTTTTCTTATTTTTTTTCATTGTTCAAGGCTGACTTTATCGATATACTGGTAGAAGTGCTTGTTCAATTTTATCAAGATTGTTACAATTTTAGGGCATTAAATCGGCTACTTACTTTGGCTTTGTTCTTGAAAATAGATGGTGGGAATCTATCAGGACGGAGATGAGTAAACATCACTCTCCTGGAAGGATAAGTATCCATCCTCTTCAATAATAAATAAATAAATAAATAAATAAATAAATAAATAAATAAATAAATAAATAAATAAATAATCAACTCCCAGAATTCCCCAGCCAGCATGAGAAACACAAGATTGGACAATTCAGGTTTGAATAACTCTTGGACACTCTTTAAATTAAATTTCAAAGTCACAAAAATTATGTTAGAATTTCCCTTCTCTACCATCCCACAATCATAAAATCAGAAATTGTTTGGAAATAAGTTTATTGAACTCAAAAATCACGCCTGGTTTTGCAGGGGGAAAAAATCTAGGTAAAAATAATCCAAAGCATGGATTAGACTAAACTAGGCAAACTAAACTAGACTAGACTAGACTAATAATCACACATTTCAAATATGCAAATCTCCAGTTTTCCCACTCAATTTTAGCACCAAAAGTAACACACTTACTGGTCAGTGGATTGATTAATATATCAACCAAGATCAATTTTATCTCAAAGACGGAGTCATGCAGAATCAACCCAGCTGTGCTAGATCAAACATAGTCTGACTGACTAATTTTATTCTGGGGACACCCTGCAAAAATACTCAATATTTTACCTCTATTGCTGTTTTAATATACGGTCTGATGAAAATTTACCACGATTGAGTAGGCAATGTTTGTCAGTCTGCATAAATAATACTAACCTTATACTTTTCAGTATCTCCTATTTCGAGATAGGGAAATTCTGCTAGGAGCAGTTTTTCATTCAACTTCTCTGGTTCATATTTCTTTGCGGATGTTATTACTAAATCAGTAACAATCTGGCCAACCCAGTTGGTACCTGGAAGGGGGGGGGACAAAATTAAATACAATTATAGTATATAATTGTAGGGTAAAAACATAAAAGTAATACCAATCAATTTACAATTGAAATCTTGTGAAAAAAGTGTAGGAACTGGACACATTCCAGTGAACATATGGCAGTATTTAATGTTTACCGTTTATTACCAAAATGTTTACAAATAGTCACTAACCAAGGTAGTTCCAAAAAAAGAAAAGAAAAGAAAGGAGAAGCTGTATTAAGCTTACTTAACCACTGCACTTTTCACCAATTGCACTTTCCAAATGCTTTTATAAAGTATAACCTCTCTAAAATGCATTGGAGTAATCAAGACAGGAAATAACCAAGGCAGAATAATTGTAGCCAAATTCCACTGGCTCGTTAAAAAGTATTTGGCCACATAATGCCAACTGTCATAGAATTACAAGCAATTGGGCTTTTGTGTTCATACTGCTTATTAAATGAAATTATCAAGTCTGCATAAATAAGGCTAACCTTACACGTTTCACTATCTCCTATTTCAAGATATGGAAGTTCTGCTAGAAGAAGTTTAGAACCTAAAACTCTCAGAAAACCCAATTTTTTATTTTTTTTTTAAATTTGATTTATTTTAAAAAAAAATTTAAATTTTATTTTATTTTATTTTATTTATACTATTTTGCAGACCAAGCATTAGGGATACGAGAAGCATTGAAATAAAATACTTCTGCTTTGACAAAGTGGACACGCCGCTTTCAAGGCAGTCGCTTCTCAAGGTTACTTTGAAAACTGCTAGGATCTAACAAAAATCCTGCCAAAATATTAAAGTATTAAACACCTACTATAGGTTGTCTTTCCTGCTTCTGTAGAATGAAAGTGACATTATATATTCAACAGGTAAAGTTCAATTTTAACCTCTAACATTGGCAGGAATCTATTTCTGAATGGAGCTCTTAGTCAGGATAGAAAACATTTGGACGTAATGGAGCCTTCAAAGTCTATCTTTGCTGCTGACAGAACTAAAATTCTGATGAAACAAAGTGCAAAGTCCATATCTGTCCAAAAGTTTTTCCAGGATCTTTTTCCTTACAACCTTTGGACTTGCAACACTCTCAGTCAAAGTATGCCTTTTAGAAAAGGTTTGCATTACGACTTGCCAAATTTAATTTCAGGAATACTTTGATGAAATGCACATATCCCACGATTTCTAGGAGTGTTTTGTAACGATAGACTTTCTGATGTTAGAGTACTACATTCTCATTTTCCAAAATACATGTTGACCACAAGTCCTTGCACGCTTGTAAACAATTTCAAGTAATATAGGTAACCCGCATTAAGACATTTGCACATTTTGATAACTAGATCTGGATTAATAGTTTTAACTTTCAGTGCAATAGTAGTAACCCCATTTGTACATAGAATCCCTTGGGGAAAAGATAGACAAAGTAAAAGCAGTTAAATAATACACACCTTGACAGTGAATCTTGGATCCTTTGACTACTTTTTTCTCATCAGCATGGCAAGGCCTCTTTGAACTCAGAATTTATTTGAGCCTATTTCCTTATTGTAATATGGAAAAACTTGCCTTTGATTATTATATGATTATCGATTATTTGATTATTATAGTCCATGTCCAAGGTAAGTTTTTAACACATTGTCCTCATTTACATGAAAATATATTTCATTAGAGATACTGATACTTGAGGGGCTAAAAGATTAAGAGTTTGGCAAAAATAATAATAATAAAGTAGCGCTTTTACACAATACTCCTTACTAAAAATATATAAGCCTCTATATAAAAATAAGCTATGAATAAAATTTTGCCTACCCACCGCATTTATCCATCCATCCAACCCAGTGGTGGGTTCCTCCCGGTTTGGCCCAGTTCCACCGAGCCAGTAGCGGTGATGATATGATGTCACCAAACCAGTTCTGCCCCCCCGCATTATTCTTACCTTTTATTTGGCCCCACCCCCAATCTATTTCTGCCTCCTGAGTCCCAGCTGATCGGCTAGAGGGAAAAAAACTGTTTAAACTCTTGCCACAAGGCTTCAAAAGGCCACCCTACAGCTGATCAGTGTTAACAGAAAACAAATGAGTAGACCGGTACCTGCAAAAATAAATGCATAGACCAGTGCCTACAAAAATAAATGAGTAGACCAGTGCCTGCAAAAATAAATGAGTAGACCGGTGCCTGCCAAAATAAATGGGTAGACCAGTGCCTGCAAAAAGAAATGAGTAGACCGGTGCCTGCAAAAATAAATGAGTAGACCGGTGCCTGCAAAAATAAATGGGTAGACCAGTGCCTCCAAAAACAAATGAGTGGACTGGTATAGCTCTGCAAGCAGTTAAAAGCCTGGTAGACCAGTACCTCTGCCAAATCCTAAATAATTGTCACATGACCATCAAGCCATGCCCATAAAATAAGCCACACCCACAGAACCAGTAGTAAAAAAAATTAGAACCCACCCCTGCATCCATCCATACATCCATCCATACATACATACACCCACTCATCTGGACACATACACATACACATCCCATGATTTTAAAAAATATTTTGTAACAGCAGACTTTCTGATGTTAGAGTATTATGTCCTAATTTTCTAACTATTGTGTTACATTTTGATCACAAATCCTCGAATGACAGAATAATGCAGCAGAGATTTTAGTTTCTGTTGGACAACAATACAAGGCAAACACAGCTGAAAAAACTGAGTAAGGCTGATGGAATGTTGGCTGGTTGCAACATGTTCCTGTTCTAAAATGGAAGCAATCTCATGGGATGACTAGTTACATAACAGGACCCTGGACATTAGTTGTGGAAAGTGATTTCTCAAGTTAATGCTGGGTGTTTAACGCCTGTAAAGGAGGATGATATTCCTTAAGGGGGGGATGAGCGTTTTGGTGATCACGAATCCCGTTTAACATTTCTAAAGGGCAGAGAAACACCAAAGTCAGATTCATCATGGAATTTGTAGGAACATCTTTGCTTTAAACTGATATACTGTATGCCTACTTCAATGGTTACATCATACTTTTAATCTATTCCACAGCTCAAAATGGCAGGAAACAGTACTCTTAAAGGGGGTTCTGAAGGGCATTCAGTAACTGTAGGATGCTTTGGGCTTTAGTTTGCTCCTCCCTGCTTTAGGCTGAAGTTCAATGAGAAGGCCTGGATACATCAGTGATGCCATTAAGATAACACATGGAAAGTAAAGCAGAAGATAGATCATCATTTCTGTCTGCCTTACATAGGGAATGCCAGCTACATCCCACAAATATATTAAAAACTTTGTGGGATATAAAGAAAAGCCAATCCTCTACAATACACTATTTATGTTGGAAGCCCACAACAGGGAACTATGTTTAGTAGCACCATACATAGTGTTATTAGCATATTCAAAGGCATATTGTACCCTTTACAAAGGTGTAATTCCCTTTTAAAGCTGTCCAAATATTTTCCTAATCTTATACTAAATATTGTTCAACTCTATGGTATAATAGCTACTGCACACACACACACACAACACACACACACACACACACGTGTGTGTGTGTGTGTGTATGTTTGCAAGTCTTGGCATATTCGGATCTTTTCCCGTGTAAGATTGAGAGTATCTTGGCGACGTTTCGACGAGGTCCCACTCGTCATCTTCAGGCTGGTGTCTTCGGCTTCGTGCCTGTGTGAGTAAAGCGTGATTGGAGATGCCGTCTCTCTATAAATACTGGTGGGGATGTGTGGAGTGCTAGCTCTGTTGTTGTAGGTGGGTTGATTGGCTGTGTTGTTACATCTTGATTAGTTGATGGAGTTGATGTTTGCAGATTAGTTGGCTGTTTCGTAACATCCTGTGTGGGCGAGGTCCTAGCTGTATGCCCATTAGTCTTTTGTGTTTTAACGACCTGGGTAATGGGTTGTAATGGTAGCATCCTGAGTTCTATTGTTGTGACATCCTGAGTCTTGTGCTTCAACATCCTGTGATGCACTGTCTTGAGCAGATGGCTGCAATGCAACATCCACAGGACTCAGGATGTCACAACAATAGAACTCAGGATGCTACCACACAACCCCTTACCCAGGTCGTTAAAAGACTAATGGGCACACAGCTAGGACCTCACCCACACAGGATGTTACAAAACAGCCGATTAATCTGCAAACATCAACTCCATCAACTAATCAAGATGTAACAACACAGCCCACCAACCCACTTACAACAACAAAGCCAGCATTCCACACATCCCCACCAGTATTTATAGAGAGACAGCGATCACGCTTTGCTCGCACAGGCACGAAGCCGAAGACACCAGCCTGAACATGACGAGTGGGACCTCGTTGAAACGTATATAGGTTTTTTTTGTCTACAGCCTTTCATTACTGACCCAGGATTCTAAAATTATGTGAAAGGACTGGTTCATTTTCTCCACAGGATACATAATGTTGTGTATCTTTTCCCTCTCTGTGTGCATTGTTTCTGGTTATGCTAATGGTTATGCATATAAAATATATGAAAACGTGCCCTTTCCAAACAGGATTTTTCTTTGGAATGATAAAAGATTGAAAGTCCTACGAAAGTCATTGAACCTGCATGTTTAGAACTGCTAGTGTCATTAAACTTTTGTAGCTAAAATGTCAGCAATATAGAATCTTAGCAAGTATGGCACATATTCAATTGATCACTTTGAAGTCTGTTTAACACTACATGGTTTCTCTCTATAGACGTAATAATAGTTTTCTTTCCACAGTGCAACTTCAGAGATGAAATAGATATTATTGAGGTCCAAAATTGCTCAGGGAATGGCAGAAACCAGGAAATTACAGATATGCAAAGATGTTTTTTCATATTATTCCTGAAGTTCCCCTTACCCTTTGATTTTATTCCAGGCTGTTACCTACAATTCATAATTCATCACTATTTCAAGTAAAATCTAATAGGGCCTTTTAAAAATATGTATCAAAAGCCCAGAGTCAACCTGTGTAGGTAGAAGAAAACAAACAAACAAACAAACTCACCAGATTTGCAGTATCCTGCTAGAACTACATCATCACTCCTAGCTTGGAAGACCTCCAAAGCTTTGAACTGCTCTGGGTTGCAAAAGACAGTTGGATATACAATTCCTTCATGAGTAATCAGCATCTCCTCTGGTGTCATCTGCTCTCCTTCTTTCATGACTTTTTCCAGAATCTCAATAAACTTTTTTCTCACGTGTGCCATTTCTGCCTTTTTTTTGGTATGAGTGGTGGAATATATATATATTCAGCTGTCAAAGTAAGGCAGTGATTAAAAACCTGCATTTACCGTGCAAATCAAACTATCCAAATACAAACAAAAACAGGAAAAAGATTTTTCTACAACTGAACCATTTCAATCCCGGATACTTACTATTAGGATGAAATTGGAAAAACATAGTTAATGACTATGTCTCTATAAACACTTATTCTGTTGGCGAGTTAGGTTACTACTCTCTGCCAGAGAGTTAGCTTTCTATTAGGATGATTTTGGAAAAACATAGTTTTAAATTATGAAAGATCTAATGACAACGTCCCTATAAACACTTAATTCTGCTAGAGAGTTTAAGCTGTTCCAGTTACAAGTTGTAACATTCTCTAATACAATGCTATTCGGTTCGGATGCAACAAGTAAGTACAACTAAAACGAGCAAATATTTTTCTCCGCTCTAAAAAAGAAATGATCATTTCATCTTGCTTTCTTGCATTTTCTTGCATCTTGCATTCTTTCCCTTTCACCCAGTTTTGCTTGTCTACTCCTCAATATTTCTGCGTTCTTTGAAATATATCAGGATTGGCTTACATTCTTCCACACTCTTCCCTCTGCAGTAAGAGACAATGTTTCTGATGCACTTCAGTATATCAGCCCTTAAGACAGTAATCAATCTTGATAGAGATCTCAGACCTTGTTTCCCTGGCAATTTAACTCTCAACAAGACGCAGCCTGCAGAAAGCTGGAGAAGAACCACCTCTGGTGTGTGTCAAGCATAAATAATCCCAAATCCCTGCCCTCCCTCCCCTCACCTTGTTGTATTTAATTTTGTGTTTCACGTCACCGGCTAACATATTTTCCCACTTTTTTATTTCCTTTCCCCCGCTCCCCTCTCTTTCCATTTTAATTGTGAAAGTTTTTTGATCCTCACATTTTAGTTTTAATTTTGATTTACCGAGTTTGAGAAGAGTCATGCTGAAGCACTGTGTGTTTTGCTTTTCTACTAAAGAATGCTCATTTCCATTATTTTTAGAGCTGGTTCTGTTCATCAGCTTTGAAAATATTTCTGCTAGTTTTATTTTATTTTTTTAAATGTTGGTTTTATTTAAAACATTTATATAGCCACCCATCTTTTACATCAAACTTTAGGGAGCTCCCAGCCAATAATTACAACAACATCAATAGTAAAACAAAATAATACATCCATCCATTAAAAACCCTGGATCTTATTATTTCATTGGAAGGATCTGCTCAAAGAAACAAATAAGAAAATAATATGCTGCACAGGATCTGGTGGACATTTTATTTTATTGTTGTTTGAAGTTCAGAGTTAACTATTCATATCATGTGGAGAAGTTCTGAGACAGCCTTCCTGATGCTTTGGATTACAACTCCCATAATCCCCATATAGCATTATCACCCTGCATATTCACTGACTACCAAGAATAAACACACACCTCATTCTTGCAAACCCAAAACATTACAGATTCTTATACACTGTCTTACTATTCAGTTTCCACTCTAAGACATCTATATCTACCATGTTTCCCTAAAAATAAGACCTGGTCTTATAATTTTTTGACCTACAAAATAAGCACTAGGGTTTATTTTGGGGGAAATATGATTTCTGGGTGATCAGCCTGGCTGGGCACTTTGCCCTCCCGGCACGCGCACAAGAGGCACCAAGTGCACAGGGACTGATGGTATCTGGCAGCAGCTGAAACCTGCCGGTTCCTTGGGTTGCACATTCTGGGGTTGCACAGCCCATGCAGCGTAGGTGACTTGATTCCCTTTCTAAACAGCAGATGGAGATAGAGGTGCAGGGGGGGAGTCAGTGGGGGAGTCAGGCAATCCAAACATACCACGCGGGTTACATGAAAGCCAAGAGTCGATGGGCTGGGGCAGGCGGGTAGCCGTAGGAGGGTTGTTGCGCAGTGCATCCAGGTCACTTGCCTTCCCCCCCATGCCTCTGCCTCCATCTGCTGCCAGTGCCACTGCACGAAGATGAGCCTCCCACATGTCTCCCTCCTGCCTCTGCCTGCACCTGCTGCTTGGACAGGTAATCAATTCACCAGTGCTGCACAGCTGTGGTTGCTGCCGGACACCGTCAGCCTGTGTGCACTAACTGCTTCCTGTGTGATGGCCACACCCACCCTCTTTGCTAGGGCTTATTTTTGGGGTAGGGCTTATATTGGGTGCACATTCAAAAATCAGTCTAAGTCTTATTTTTGGGAAAACACAGTAACCAGATTAATGCCAAAAAGACAAAACATGAGCTCTCCTGAGGCAGACTCTGCCCTTTCATGCTTATGTTGCAATGTTCTGGCCAGCTGTGTAAGAGATGTAGCTTACATTGCAACATCACAATTTATCTTTTCACCCTTTGCCCCACTTTTTTGCTCAGGGATTTTACCTTGCACTGTAATCTTTCTTAGCATCTGCTCCTCCACATGATATGAATAGCCAAAACAATAACTCTTTTTATGTTTTACCATGAGACCCATAAGGCCTTTTATTTTTAAAATGTAAATTCTAAGACTGTGACTGTTCCTGTTGCAAGTCAAATCTACAAAATATGGCAATAAAGCACAAAGGATCAGCAAATTACAAGATTTGTCAGTTGAGGCATTTTTCTGAAAAAAGAACTTCTCTGACTTTGTTGATTTATTCAGCAGACTCCTTTATCTTCAGTGTCCTCCTTTATCTTAAGAAAACACCATGAAAGTAGGAAGTAACGTAAACTCCCACTCATAGGTGGAGTTATTTCTTATTTTACAGGTAGTCCTCAACTTACAATCATTCACTTAGTGACTGTTCAATGTTGCAACAGCTCTGAAAAAAGTGACTTATGGCTGTTTTTCACATTTATGTCCATTGCAGCCTTCCCATGGTCACCTGATCAAAATTTGGACGTTTGGCAGCTGGCATGTAAGCACTGGGGAACTATCAGATGATTGGAAAAGAGCTGATGTGGTTCCCATCTTCAAAAAAGAAAAAAAAATGGATCCAAGAAACTACAATTCTATCGGCCTGACATCAATATGTGGGAAGATCCTGGAAAAGATAATCAAGCAATGAACCTGTGAACACCTAGAGGCAAACAATGTTATAACCAGAAGCCAACGTGGCTTTGTTAAAAAACAGATCATACCAGACAAATCTTATTGCATTCTTTGATAATCTGACTAAATTAGTGGATCAACTAAATGCTATGGATATAATTTACTTGGACTTCAGTAAGGCACCTGATAAAGTAGTCTACAACCTACTACTTGATAAAATAGAAAAAATGTGGATTAGACAGCATCACTCCCAGATGGATTAGTAACAGGCTGATCAGCTGCACTCAGCATATAGTCTTCAATGGAACTGCATCTACATAGAGTGAAGTATGCAGTGGGTACCTCAAGGTTCTGTCTTAGGCCAAGTACTCACCAATGTCTTCATAAATGATTTAGATGAGAGGATAAAACAGGAACTCACCAAATTTGCAGACGACAAACTGGCAGGAATAGGATAGGATAGGATAGGATAGGATAGGATAGAATAGAATAGAATAGAATAGAATAGAATAGAATAGAATAGAATTTTTTATTGGCCAAGTGTGATTGGACACACAAGGAATTTGTCTTTGTGCATATGCTCTCAGTGTATATAAAAGAAAAGATACGTTCATCTAGAATAATAAGGTATAACACTTAATGATAGACATAGGATACAAATAAGCAATCAGGAAACAATATCAATATTAATCGTATGGATATAAGCAACAAAGTTACAGTCATACAGTCATAAGTGGAAGGAGATGGGTGGTGGGAACAATGAGAAGATTAATAGTAGTGCAGACTTTGTAAATAGTTTGACAGTGTTGAGGGAATTATTTGTTTAGCAGAGTGATGGCATTCGGTAAAAAACTGTACTTGTGTCTAGTTGTTCTGATGTGCAGTGCTCTATAGCGTTGTTTTGAGGGTAGGAGTTAAAACAGGAGTTGAGTAGCCAACACTCCAGAAAATAAGCTTAAAATACAGAAGGAGCTCAATCAGATTTCCACTTCGGTCAATATCTAATACAGGCTTAGTTATGCTTAACCCCACCTGCTGCCCACTGCATTTATTGCTACTTTTTATAGAACTGCTTGAAAAATTTTCCTTGCGATGAAGCATTCCTGTTGCTGTAGTTGTTGTATAACATGATTTTATAAATATAAATAGGTAAATTTAATAATCCAAACATGAGAACTATTGGAAGTTGTCCTAAACTGAATCAGATTATACAAGTCCCCATGGAGTCATAGAGAAATCCCTCCAGGCCTACCTGGAAATTGAATTTCTGACATTCTGCATCCAAAGTATGTGGTATTTCAGTGGGGACTTCATTTACAAGTAATGTTTGACTTACAATCATTCATTTAGTGATCGTTTGAAATTACCAGAGCTCTGCAAAAAGTGACTTATGACCATTTTTCACACTTGCAGCATTCCTGTGGTCACATGATCAAAATTCAGACACTTGGCAACTGGCATGTACTTATGACAGTTGCAGAGTCCAAAGGTCATGTGATCACCTTTTGCGACCTTCTTACAAGCAAAGTCAATGGGGAAGCCAGATTCAATTAACAACTGTGTTGCTAACTTAATAACTGAAGTGATTCACTTAACAACTGTGGTAAGAAAGGTCATAAAATGGGGCAGAAGTCACTTAACATCTGTCTTGCTTTGCAACAGAAGTTTTTGCTCAATTGTGATCATAAGTTGAAAACTACCTTTTCTTGAGATGGTTCCTTGGTCTGTTGATGAACTTTAAATTTTATACAATCCCTAGACAACAGTATCATTCCTGTTGGCATCTATTTTGCAAAGGAATTTAGAATAATCTTGGGGAAGGTATCTGATGATTGGCATAAAAGAGAAGTGAGGTGTTGCAGCTCAGTGGTGGGTCTCAACCGGTGTTACCACCGGTTCTCTTCGCACACATGCTTTGTGCACGCTCACCACCAAACTTGCGCTTTGTGCAAGCACATTAGGTATCTGCCCAGCTGAGGTGCGGCAATCCACTCTGCCGCGCCTATCAGCTGGGCTAAAAACTGAGAAATAAAGGTAGGAATAAAGCGGGGTTGGGCAGGAGGGCCCATTTCCCAGTCAAAGAGAACTGGTTCAGTGACGTCACATCGTCACCGTTACCAGCTCGGCCAAACTGGGCTGAACCGAGAGCAACCCACCACTGGTGCAGCTGCTTAAGGATGCTGGATCTGCCACCAAAAATGGTCGACACTCTGGCAGTTTGAGTCCTGGTAGCACTGAAGGATGAGGTGAGCTCCCATCACCCACCTCTAGCTCCTGCCCTGCTCATTCAGTAGGCTGAAAGCATTACTGTCAGTACATAAATGGGATAGCATTGCAATGGGAAAGGCTAGCTGCACAAGGAGAATGGGAGCCAGTGCTAGACCTGTCTGCTGCACAAGGAGAATGGGAGCCAGTGCTAGACTTGTCTAGAGGTGAAATCAACAGAAGAGGCCCTGGAAAATTTCATCAATCTGACTGCCACTAACCAGATGATGAAAGCTGGTTCATCTTCTGTGCTGCACCATGGATAAGAGTGCAGGCGCAAAACCGAAGGAAGTAATAATTGGGCTATCACAGTGGTGAAATGAAAAATTTGCTACTACCATTTCTTGGTAGCATTGCTTGGTGGGGGGGTAATGTGACTGGATGGGCATGGCCAACTTTTTTTTTTTTTTACTTTTAAAAGCATTTTTTTTACAACTTCTGTTGTGGCTCCGTTACCAGAGCCTGTGTCATCGGCAGGAGAGGACTCCGAGAGTGAAGGAGAGGAGTTGGCAAGGCCTCTCTCTCCAGGACCCTCCCCTCTGGCAATGCCTTTGGTGTCCGCCGAAGGGCAAGAGATAGGACATGCACGTCCACGCAGCCACAGATGGACAGTGATGAGGGTAATGAGTCTTGGCTGGATCCACGCCAGCGTCGCAGAGATAAGCACACGCAACAGAAGAAAAGGCATGCCCGAGATTAGGTTGAGTCACTGGACCACACCCCACAGGCTATAAAAGGGAGCGTGGTGGCCAGTCAAACCTTGTGACGAACAAAGCTGAAAGCTTCCACACCATTCTGCATTGCTGGACTTTTTGCTATAGACTTTGCTGGATTATCTCTGGACTTGATTGACTCCGTAATTATTGAGCTGTTTCTTTTGATGTACCAGGAGTGGGGAGAAGTTATCTCTCCTCTTCGTAAATAATAAACTCTTGGTAGGCAGCCACTAGATTGTTGCCAAGTTCTGTTATCATAAGGAAAAGGATTTTGCCGGCTGGTTTGGTCTTTAACTCTTGAACGTCTGTTGGTGTGTGTGCGTGTGGTTGGGGACAGAACAACTTCTTTGGTCAAAGAGGTTGTTTAAAAAATGCTTTTAAAAGGCTCTGATGATCCCAGCTGAGTTGCCTGACCATCACAGGCTTTTGTTTTCTTTTAAAAGCATTTTCAGCTGAAGAGGTTGTAGAAAAAATGCTTTTAAAAGGCTCTGACAATCCCAGCTGAGCCGCATGATCATCAGAGGCTTTTTTTTACTTTTAAAAGCATTTTTTCGGTCGAAGAAAAATGCTTTTAAAAGTAAAAAAAAAAAAAGCCTCTGATGTTTGCATGGCTCATCATAGTGGATGGGCAGGGATTTTTGCTACCGGTTCGCCAAACCACCCACCATCATTGCTACTGGATTGGGTGATCCGGTCCGAACCAGGAGCATTTCACCCCGGGTCTATCAGGACTACTCTGTAAAGTGTAGATCTCCCTACAAATGTATACCATATGAAATAAATAAAATACTGGCATAAAAGACTGCAGAGTTCTGAGATAGAGGAAAACACAAGAAAGGAACTCAAAATACCCCTATTTGATTTTGCTTAATATAAGATGTGACTGAACTTTGACAGGCTTTCAAGACTCAGCTATTCTAACTTACTATAATAAAGAGTGTTCCTGAAAGAACCATTATGTCTATTTCTTAATTAATCAGCTTTGTAGGGCTGACAACTATATAAATACTGTATGTATTTTGATCTCTGAAGGAAGAAGGATCAAAAATTGGTTGTAATTTCTAATGGTGTTTCAAATCACTGTTAAGTGTCCAGTAAGTTACCTCAAGTATGAGAATAGTCTGGCCAGGGATGACTAGATTTGAGCCAAAGAATATTATGTACTGATTAACTGAGGACAAAATGTCTACCATGGCCCTATCCCGACATGGCGCTCCCATATAACACCTCTCCTGCGCGAGCTGCACTGGCTCCCGGTGGTCTTCCGGGTGTGCTTCAAGGTGTTGGTTCTCACCTTTAAAGCACTCCATGGCTTAGGGCCAGGGTATTTACGAGACCGCCTCCTGCTACCGATAACCTCCCACCGGCCAATACCCTCTCACAGAGAGGGCCTCCTCAGGGTGCCGTCGGTCAAGCAATGTCGGCTGGCGGCCCCCAGGGGGAGAGCCTTCTCTGTGGGAGCACCCGCCCTCTGGAATGAGCTACCTCCCGGAATACGGCTGATTCCGGATCTTCACACTTTCCGTAAGGCCCTGAAAACGTTTTTATTTCAGCAAGCTGGCCTGGCCTGAATAGGTTTTATGGGTTAGTTTTTTAATTGTATAGCTAGGGGTTTTAAATTGGGAGCCCAATTAATTTAATTTATTTTTAATTATCTTAACTTTTATATTGTATGTTATTTTAATTCTCGGCTGTTCACTGCCCTGAGTCCCTTCGGGGAGAAGGGCGGGATATAAATTCAATTAAATAAATAAATAAAACATCAGAAAGTATTCTAATGAGGTAACATAATCTGTTATGAATGTGAATGAATGTTTGCATTTTAATATTTGTTCATTACTTAACTAGAGGGCTTTTTTTTTTTAAGAAAAAGGAAAAGTAAACAGGAATTGGAGAACGGAACAGAATGGAGAATGGAAAAAGAAGAATAAGAAAAGGAGAAATGGATATGAAAGCCAGCACTGGAAACAAGGAAGATTTATGTACGAGGAGCATGAACCATAAACATAAAATAAATATGCCTTCGGTTTTATACTTTCTAGGCTTCATCCTAATTCTTCCAGTCAGTCTTTCCAATCAGAGTTCTGGAATCCTTGAACTGTACATATTATAAGAAAGTTGTTTGACATGATAATATAGATAAAGAATATGAGGAATATAACATGAATATAAACATGGAAAAATTCTAACCGAAAGCCTTGGTGCTATCAACATGCAGTGAGATTGGGCTATTTAAGGAAGCTTGTATCTGCCATTTTGATCTTGCATGGCCCACAATGACAAAAGGGACAGAAAAGATTATGGGTAATATCTAACAAAAATCAGAGTTGCAAGTCTTTTTTTCCCCAACGGCAATACGGCCCATATGAGCAGATCTAACCCTGCTTAGCTAATTTCATGCTTATAGCTTTATGTGGTTTTGTACAGAAAGAAAGGATGTTGTCATGAATAATGATGCCCTTTCTGGGGCATCATTCTATCAGTGTTGGCTGAGGGTAAGGGAGGAGAGAAATATAAAAATTTAATTCTTTTTCCATGAGAGAAAATATACTTTTAAGTTGGTGGGCACAAAACATCTTTCCTCTATAGATTTAGATCTTATAAATTAAATTATTTAATAATAACGATGCTTTCTGTAACATTAGGATGGCTTTGCACAGACACGTTGCAAAGCTCTTGAGATAGCTATCATAATCCAGAAAATTATTAGCAATTTTGGCACATTCACAAATGATAAGAATCAGCTGAAACTGTGAGCCAAAGAAACAGAGAGGCTCATAAAGAAATCCTCCTCCTCCAAGCCTGGGCAAAAATATAGGAATTTTCTTTACAAGGTCTTGCATGTTTAACATTGGTAGATGGTTTCCATGCATTCTGGAAACTGAAGGTGGAACATAAAATGTTGCAAGGTGGACTTCCTTTCTAGATAATGGTGAGAATGGACTATGGTTAACAAGAAAGTTATTGAAATACAGGCTTGCTCATTTAACCTCCATCTCAAAGAACTAAGAAAAGTCCATTGCTCTGTCCATAAGTCCTTTATAGAACATTTCTTTATTCTCATTTGGGTCGTCAATCCCCCAGTGGATTTATTTTATCCTGCCATTCAGAAAATCTGACTGTCAAATGATTACATCTAACAGTGGTTAAGAAAATGAAGATTTTGTGAATTTATGTCCGTTATAAGCTGCAGTATGGGTGTGAGGTTGATTGAAATTCCTCAACCCCCAGCTCCCCAACTTGCAACTCCCAGTTGCAAGTTGACTGCAAAAATAACCTCAGTTCCTGAAGTCGCTTCATAAGGAACCATTGTCCAGAATGCAACTGAGTGAAGAAAAAGGCAGGCAGGCAGGCAGGAAGAAGGAGGGAGGGAGGGAAGGAGGGAGGGAGGGACCTAATTGATTAAACATGGTTTTGTTTATTTAGTTCAGGGATGTCAAATTCAAGGCTCCAGGGCTGAATCTGGCCCACGTGGTGTTTAGATCTTGCCCACAGGGCTGCCTGGAAACAGCAAAGCCCTCTGCCAGGGAAAATGGAGCTGTTGCAGCTGAAAACAGATCTTGCAAGGGCCACAGGCAGCACTCCCAAGCTCTGTTTTTGCTGGCAGAAAGTTGCAGGAGGTCATCACAGCCAAAACAGAGCTCAGGAGCCCATTTTTATTGGCAGAGCACTTGAGCCACCACAGGCGCCTCTGACAATCTGGCCACACCCACCATGGCTACGCCCATCCCGGCCCTCCAAGGTCAAACACAACCCTGATGCAGCCCTCAATGAAATCGAGTTTGACATCCCTGATTTAGTTGTTTCAAAAGTCTTAGCAAAAGTCCTAATATTATAAAATCATATGGTCCTCTAGTTCATTTAAAACTTTCTTAAATTAAATTCTTATTTAGTTTTTTTTATTATTTTATTTTCTATTTTTTAATCTTTTAAATCTATTTTGGAATGGATTTTACTCAAACTTGTTGCTTGGAAGATATTTTTAAATTTAAAATAATTATAAATCCAAGATTGTTTAAAAAGGGAGGTTGAACCCATTGTCCTTAAAAGCTCTGCTGTGTTTGAGAGCTTGAGGCTCTCCTTGTCTCCCAGTGCCAAACTAACAGGTCAACTGCTGTTCTGTGATCTCCTCAGGAGGTGCAGCTGTCTGGAGCAAAAGTAGATCTCTCATCCTCTCCTTCCATTGAAACAGATTTGTCAGTGGTCCATCTATCTCAGCCATGTCATTGTCTCTGTTCCTCCTGAGAAGTCTTAACTCACCATTGCCTGACATTCATGAAGAGAGTGACCAATGGCCGAGGCACAACATTGTACCTACAATTTCAGTTGCAAAGTAGGACTTCCATTTAGTTTTTTAGCTATGTGCTTTGGCATCTCAGATATTTCCAATTTCTAGTACAGCATCCACAAATCCATGATTTTCATTTTTGCAGGAGTATGATCTTTGCTGCCTATTTTCTCATATAGATAATTAATTAGACCCTGATGAGCTCCTCTTCAACAGTTTTGTTTAACTTTTAAGCCTACAATATACTGGTACTCCGCATTTTAATTTTATTTCCAGTTTTGTCCCACCAAAGCATTCTTCAAACATCAGTTTCATTTCCAGGTTGTGCTGTTCTCAGAGAACGTTCTTCTCTCCATTAAATCCACTGAAAGAGATTCTGATATTAGTAATATCCCTAAGTAATATATTTTGAGCAAATTAGTAAATTCTAATATGGTTCCACATCTGTCTTGTTTTGATATTATTTTTCCTTAGTACACTGTTATTTATTTACTTAGCATCTTTTACATGGCCAGCCATCTCAGCAAAGTAATTGTGGGATGCATGCAAGGATTAAAAACACACAAAAGGGTATCATTGCTGCTTTTTTTAATTAAAAAGAAAATAAACAATGGTCTAAAGAAACCAAACAAATTATATACAGTAACCTTAGTAACTGGATGCTACATCTGTGTGCTTAATTCAGCCAAAAGTATAGGTCACATGGCAATATAATTTAGAACAGATTTTCATTTGCTTTTGGCAAAGTGCAAAGGGCTGAACTTGTGCCTTTTGGATTCTGGGTTTCTATGAAACTTTGATTGAAATGCCAGAATTTCAGGGCAATGGAAAGATAGCAACAGAGTAGCTGTGGCTGGCGATTACATTTTCATAAAAGTGCTGGCCCTAAGAGAAAGCTGAATTCAATATCCAATAGATCTCTCCTCAAGTCAAATTGATCTTTCTGATGAGGTCACCATTTGTTGGCAGAGATAGAGATTAAAGCAGAGGTTAATTTTTAATTTAACAGAATTACAGAATTGGAAGGGACCTTGGAAGTCTTCCATTTCACACAGTGGTTGTCTTCTTAAAAATATCTGGTTTATTTTACTCTCCTTTTCATGATGTAGCTTTGCCTACTCTCTTAACCTGCATGGGTCAGCCTTACAAGATATATCAATCAGGAAACATGAGCAGATGTAGTAATTTACTTTATTGTAAGGGTTCATTAACAGAATTTTGCAAGTCTGAAAGTACTTCTCCACATTCTTGCTGTGGGCTATTTTTATCTGAAAGTTCTCTTGGTTGTGTCTGGTTGTCCTATCTCCTAAGGCAGGGGTCAGCAACCCATGGCTCAGGAGCCACATGTGGCTCTTTCATCCCTCTGCTGCGATTCCCTGTCGTCGGTCAGCTCCACAATTGATAGGGCTTTCGGTTAGGACAGGTAGAGGAAAAAGGATGCTGTGCTAGGAGGAAACTCTATGGTGGGGAAACCGGACTTCCGGTCGGCTCCAGAATTGAACGGAGGGCTTCCAGTTAGGACCTTTGTGGCTCTTTGAATATTTAAGGTTGCCGACTCCTGTCTTAAGGTCATTCTCACATACCATTACAATATAGTTCTCTGCATTATTTAGATAACTTGATCTAATCAATTATTTATTTAAAGAAAGATCAAGAAAGTGGTCCTTTATATTCTTACAAATAACTATCTTAGAGCTTGAGACTTCAAAATCACCCGCCTAGGAATATTTCTGGGATGCAAACAGCATGGAGATACAATGTTCTCTGAAGAAAATTAAAAGATATTTGGTATTAGTTATATTTCTTTGGCAGAAATCTGATCTAACAATGCAATAGTTTCCTTCTGTGCTTGGAATTTCCTTAACCCTTTCATGTATACTTGGAACGTGATATTACAGAGAAAGCATCAATGTTTTATAATTTGGGAAAGAAGATTGAATCTTCTCTCCCAAATGATAAAATATTCTTGTATGTCATATTTTTATGAATGTATCCTTTTCTCAGGTTTCAAAGTTCTTCACCTATGTATTATTCAACTTGCCCAACACAGTTTCTGTACTTTAAAGTTGTCTTGATACAACCATGTGCGCTGCATAACTGTTGGGAAGTTGCCTTCCTTTCCCTAAGCTAACTTTCAGAAAAAAAGCCTGTGTGAGCAGATAGATGAAAGAGGAAGTTGGCTATTTCGTATACTTAAATTCTGAAGTTTACCATGATGTGCCTTCTCTGTGTCAGCAACTAATATAATCTTATTAGTGGGGTAAGTAGGAGAAACAATAGAACAAGTCTTTCCGTGAAAGCTTCCGTGAAGCTTGCAAGAATACCAATCCCAAAGAGTAGGTGAAAATTGGCCAATAGGAACACATTGGAGAGCATTTTATAATATGGATTAACTAAACTTGTCATGCCAGCTGTATTAAAATAACATGTTATGAGAGATGGTTGGATAAGAATGTAAACATACCTCACCTTCATTCTGGATCATTGCAAAACTCTGCACTCTAGAATTTGGGCTATCAGCCCATTGAGATGTTTCTCACAGGACATAATAACAATAAAAAAAAGCCACTAATGGTCTTATGTAATGAAATTGCTGAAGATTTATAAACGCCAAGAAAGTATTCATTAATCATAAGCTTCATAATGATAAGTCATGGCGATGAAAATCTCTATCATCCAGGAAAAGTATCCCACCTAGCAGTAGGGAGCTGACTTCTGAAATATTTAAAACTCTATTGGTGAAACAAGAGAAACAAATTCGTGTTAAAAGACCAATGCAGGAAATAGTAAAATAAATGAATTTGTTTTCTAGATGTCAGAGCAAAACCGGAGGAAAAAAACTACCTTTAAAAGCAACATCAGCAAAAAGTAATATTGCAATGCTATCAGGGAGATGGATCTGTTCAGTATTCTTTATCCAGGCTAAAAATCTCTTGGGGATGGGACATATAACCAAGTTAGGAAAAGTCTGCAAAGCAGGGCTTCTAGAATTTTTTCTAACCCATTTAGCAACAGTGCCCATCAGAGGATTTCCTTCTGTGTAACAAAGGAATATATTGTGTCTGCACAATTTCCCTCCTGTTGCACCTGTGTGTGTGTGTGTGTGTGTGCATGTGTGTGTGTTCACACGCACAGCTGAACCTGCCCAGCTGGCTTTCCATACCAGTGTTTCTCAACCTTGGCAACTTGAAGATGGACGGAGTTCAACTCCCAGAATTCCCCAGTCAGCATGGTGAAGTCCACCTGCCTTCAAACTGCTGAGGTTCAGAAACTGTTCCAATGAATGCATTGAGTACATGTTTTTTTCAGCAGCTCTTGGCTGGGTTCATTTCATTTTAAAACTTCCTTTTTCTTTTGCTGGCTCCTGATAACAAAAGTGATCCTCTTCTTTCCATTTTCAGAGAATAATCCTGATGAAAATCAGATAGATTCCAAGACATTCTGACATTCTGTTGGATGGAAAAAGTAAAATGGAATTTTAAAAAAAACAACTCTAAAATGTGATGCAGTTTCACATAGGAAGTATCATGTGGATACTGTGCATTCACTAATTCATTCCATGTTATTTATTTATTTATTTATTTATTTATTTATTTATTTATTTATTTGTTTGTTTGTTTGTTTGTTTATTGGTTCGATTTATACACTGCCCTTCTCCGGAGACTCAGGGCGGCTTACAATGCGTTAAGCAGTAGCCTTCATACTTTTGTATATAACTGCTTAGTAGGGCTTTCGGGGCCCCCCAAGCGGTGTTCTTTTTTATACAAAGTCAGCTTATTGCCCCCACAATCCGAGTCCTCATTTTACCTACCTCGGAAGGATGGAAGGCTGAGTCAACCTTGAGCCTGGTGAGATTTGAACTTGCAGTAATTGCAGGCAGCTGGTGCTACTTAACAGTACTTTAGTCTGCTGTGCCACCAAGGTTATATATTTTATAAAACAGCGAAAGCTCTAAAAAGGAGATAGTTAACCCAAAACCAGGTCTTGACTAGTTCAGCAATATCCAGTTTCTGTTATGTCATTGTGGGTACAGTATTAATCCTTGAGGAAGGGCAGTGTCATGTTATGTAAACCATACATAGCAGGTATGTGATACTGGGTACACTCAATTTTTTAAAAACATTCTTGTACAAGTTGGCCTGCCTGTAATTAAAAGATGATATTCATTACATTTCCTTCATTGCAACATTTTAACAGGAAATTCCTATGCATGTTTATTCAAAAATAAGTCTGACTACATTCACAATGAGGTTGTCTCTCCATAATGGATGTACAGGACTGCGAACTTAATTACTGCTTTCAGAAATTGTTAGCATAATACATTTCATTTCTTTCCCCAATGGCTTTTTCTGGATGACTCTTCCTATTACCACTCTGTTTTATACACCTCATTCATAGCTTCCACCCCCCACACACACACACTTTTTAATTATTTCCTTACTGCTTTCCTTCCTCACTTTTTATGACTGTTCTGTTTTTCATTACCCACCATAGGTATCTATTCTTGCATTGCATTTTGAAACAGCAATGCAAACTCTATTTATTTGCATTTTGATTGCAATGTTGTATCCAACTACCTAAGGGGCATAGTTTGTTTTTCAACATCTCAATCAATCAATCAATCAATCAATCAATCAATCAGAACAGAGTTGGAAGGGACCTTAGAGGTCTTCTAGTCCAGCCACCTGCTCAAGCAGGAGACCCTATACCATTTCAGACAAGTGATTCTTTTGAATGACAAGTCTCTTCTTTAAAACCCCCAATGATGAAGCACCCACAGCTTCTGAAGGCAAGCTGTTCCACAGGGTTAATTGTCCTCACTGCTAGGAAGTTTCTCCTTAATTCCAGGTTGCTTCTCTCCTTGATTAGTTTTCATCTGTTGTTTCTTTCCAGCACCAGAGGGCAGGACAAGAAACAATGGATGGAAACTAATCAAGGAGAGAAGCAACTTAGAACTAAGGAGAATGCCTTCTTTGTCACTTGACCCTTTGTGGATCGCTAATGCTGCCCACTGGACTTTTTATTCTGATTTCCACCATTTCATGCAGTGCCACAAGTGCCACAATTTTGTGCAATGCTCCTTAACTGCCTCAGTCTTTATTGAAATGCAACTCAGTGGTGAGCAAAGTAAGGTTTTACACTTAGGCAAGAAAAACCAAATGCACAGGTATAGAATAGGTGGTGGTACCTGACTCAATAGCAGTAAATGCAAGAAAGATCTTGGAGTCCTAGTGGACAATCACTTAAATATGAGCCAGCAATGTGCTGCAGCTGTCAAAAAGGCCAATGCAGTCCTAGGCAGAATCAACATAGGAATAGTATCAAGGTCACTGCTTTATACTGCACTAGTAAGATCACACTTGAAATACTACATCCAGATTTGGTCACCATGACCAAACTCTAGAAAGAGTGCAGACAAGGGTAACAAAGATGATTAGGGGACTGGAGGACAAATTGTTCAATAAACAGCTGCGGGAACTGGTAATGTCTAGTCTAATGAAGAGAAGGACTGGGGTGATGTTACAGCAGTCTTTCAATATTTGAAGGGCTGTCATAGAGAGGAGGAGTGCAACCTATTTTCCAAATCATTTGAGGGGAAGACAAGACGTAAAGCATGGAAGCTTAACAAAGAATGATCCAACCTAAAATTAAGGAGAAATTTCCTGACTGTTGGAAAAATTGATCAGTGGACCAGCTTACCTGCAGAAGTTGTGGGTGCTCCATCAATGGAGATTTTTTAAGAAGATATTGGATATCTATTTGTCTGGAATAATATAGGGTCTCCTGCTTGAGCAGGGCGTTGGACCAGAAGACCTCCAAGGTCCCTTCCAACTCTTGTTATTCTATATTCCATTCATGTTCCTCTCCAAAGGTCTCCCATGGTCTTCTAATCTCTTGGATTGTCCTCTCCAGCTTTTCATAATGCTTCTCCCTCAGAATGCTAGTATCCCACCTTACTGCTAGCAATATTTTTTTTCCCATACAATGTCTCTTGAGTCACCTGGAATATAGGTAAACAAGTAAGGTTGCCTGAAGCAGTTTGGTGAAAATAAAGAGGCATTTATTCTATTATTCATCTGAAAAATGAATGAGAGCCTTACATAATAGATCTGTTTGAGTTTACATAATGGATAAATGTTTATATTACTTAGTTTAAACATACAGGGGTATTTGCCTAAGATTGAATTTACAATTGGAAAGAAAATAAACTTCATGTATATCTGATTTCAACAGAACAAAAGAATAACTAACTTCGTCTAAATCTATTCCTTTGAGCAACAAGGGAGAAAGAACTCATTCTGGCATTTTAGCTGTATTTTGGCATTGTTTCAAATCCTAACCTCTCCACTTTGACCATATAACTTATTACTCATTCAGGCTGACCCATTGGAAGAAAACCTGAAGTGTAGCCATGACAAAATTGGGTCATGGCTGGTAGTAACCTTTTTGCCCTTCTCCCATTTTCAGCTTCCTCAACATAAGTCCTGAGATGTGACATGATCAACACAGAGTAAAATTAGTTCCTTCTGTCAAATACCTCACACTAAAAGTGTTCTACTATTTCTGCTCCTCCGTTTTTTAAAATCAGTTTTTTTATGCATTCACAGCTCCTGTACATTGCTGAGTGTTGTATCTTTCAAAGTTGCAATTTTCCAATGTTGAGGTATTTCCCTTTAGTGGGATTCTGTTAAGTAGTAGTGGCTGCATTCCACCTTCCCTTCCCTCCATCTATAGTTTGCACACTGGAGCTGTGACTTACGGGACTACATTTGTTCTCAATTAGAAATGTTTTGCTCTCTCAATAATTTGCAGTGAAGAAGGCTCCATAATACAGTTTCATTTTTTAAAATTAATTTTACAAAAATAATATAGCAATAGCACTTAGACTTATTTATTGCTTCACAGTGCTTTACAGCCCTCTCTAAGTGGTTTACAGAGTCAGCATACTGCCCCCAACAATCTGGGTCCTCATTTTACTGACCTCAGAAGGATGGAAGGCTGAGTCAACCTTGAGCCTGTGAGAATCAAACTGCTGGCAGCCAGCAGTCAGCAGAAATAACTTGCAATACTGCATTCCTACTGTGCCACCATGGGTCTTGTTAAGATGTAAATGCTCACAATGAAAAGGGAGGGAGGAACGGGGGGGGGGAATCAGGAATTTGTCTTCATGAAGTTACTTTTTTTTTCTTTAATATATTCTTTAATATAAAACAAATCTTGACAAGAATCTCCTTGTTTCGCTTTAATTCAGACTGAGGAAATGAAATGTCACAATGTAGGAAGGATTTAAAAAAAATTAAATTAGCAAATTTATTGATAACAGATTGAAATCACAAATCATAATTAGATATCGAATAGCCTGAGGGTTACCTAAATTTTGTGTTTTCAGCTCTCAGTTTGATTACATTAATTAATTCTAAAGTTTATTTTCATTTGTCTAAAATCTTGTTCTGTTTCTGAACTCATCCCAAAATTGCTTTGATCATCAGCTTCATACAGGGAAGTTGTCTTACTCTGGTTCTCCAACTAAACTATCGGAGAAATATATATGAGAAATGGAATAAGAAATATAATATGTATATGTTATGTATAATGAGGGTCTTTCAATTTTAGGCTAAATGAAATCAAATTGGAAAACAGAATGGACTAAATCCTCAAACTGAGAATGAGGAAGTATGTTATATGTTTGTTCGATATTAAAAAAAAAAAAACTTGAATGAATTAAATAGATTATGCAATTGACTTATCACCCCGCTTTCTAATCATAAAAGCCCTGAAGACATTTTCCTACTTGTCAAAGGAAAACTGAGTTGACATTCCATTTAAGAAAAGAAAATAAGAAACTTATATTTTGAGATTTCTGGTCTGTATAGAGTCTCAGATTTGGGATGAAAGGAAAGTTTTATGGAAACCTCAAACAAGTTCAGTATGAAGAGGCTCACAACTTGATTATTTGCTCTCCAGATTACTTTTGTACTATAGTTTGATACAGTGGTGGGTTTCAAATTTTTTTACTACTGGTTCTGGCTTAGTGGATGTGGTATGGCTTGGTGGGCATGGCAGGGGAAGGATACTGTAAAATCTCCATTCCCACCCCACTCCAGGGGAAGGTTACTGCAAAATCCCCATTTCCTCCCAATCAGCTGGGACTCAGGAGGCAGAGAATAGATGGGGCCAGTCAGAATTTTTACTAGCAGTTCTCCGAACTACTCAAAATTTCCACTACAGGTTCTCCAGAACTGGTCCAAACCTGCTGAAACCCACCTCTGATTTGATAGATCCCATTGGCTGAGAAGTCTAGAAAAAGGAAAGCCAACTATGAGGAGGAGATTATTTTGAGGAAAATAGATTTATTGAAATATGTATTTTGGGTCTCAGGTACTTCCAGCCTTAATTAACTAATCAATTGAAAATATTTTTATAGCTACTCATATTGTAACCAAAACTCTGGGTGACCCACAAAACAGTAAAGCAGCAACCCCAACTTCCCCCCAAATAATAACAATTAAAAATAAAAACATAATGGGACCTCAGGGCAGCACTCGTCCACACATCCAGATACCATCTTGCTGGGCTCCTGCTTCCTTCTATGTGGGAAGAGTCAACTCTTCAAGGCCTTCTGAATGTAAGCAGGATGGGGCCTCTCAGGGAAGGCAGTTCCCAAGGGTAGGGGCAGCTATGGAGGAGCTGTGCATTTAAGAGAGCACTTTATAGAAATCTGGGTTGTAGATATACAGACTCATAGTATTGGAAGGGATCTTAAGAGGTCTTCCAGTCCAACCATACCTGCCCAGAGTAGGATTCTTCATGCCGTCCCAAATGGCCTTTGCTTAAAAACCTCCAGTGATGGAGCACTCATAATATCATAAAGGAGGCAATTCCACTATTCCACAGCTGTTAAAAAAAAAAAAAAAGGATTTCCTCAGCTAAACTTACACTCACTATTTTTCTCCTATCTTCAGGAGTATGGAGAATAAAACTACAACCTCTTCTCTATGACAGCCCTTCTGGTATTTAGAAACTACTATTATATTGCCCCTCGGCTTTGTCTTATTTAAGCTAAACATATCAATTCCTTAGATGTTCTTCATAAAGTCCAATCTTTGTAGGAGTCTAATCCTTTCACCATCTTTGTCCTTTTTTTTGCATACACTTCCCAGTTCCTCAGTGTCTTTCTTGTATTGTGGTGATCAGAACTGGATGCAATATTTCAGATGTGGTCTAACCAATGCAGCATGGAGCAGAACGACCACTTCTTATGATTTAGACATTAAACATGATACAGCCCAAGATTTTATTTATTTATTTGTTCATTTAAATCCATTTATATGGCCACCCATCTCACAAGTGTGACTCCAGGTACTTAACAAAGTTTTTAATAATAAGATATAAATGCAATATTATACATATTATTTCTTGTCCTTAGGTAAGAAAAATCAGATACACAAGTACAAGACAAGTAATACCAGGGCTCAGAAATAGCAGTCGAGAAAAAGAATCACAAGTTAAGAATGAGCCACCTGTATGGTGTACCTGCTAAAAATACCCCTAATATATGTGATTGTACTGATATATATTAAGGTTTTTTTTAGCAGGTGTACCATATGGATGGCTCATGTTTAATCTGTGATTCTTTTTCTCAACTGCTGTATTTGAACCCTGATACCACCTGTCTTGTACTTGTATATCTGGTTTTTCTCACCTAAGGGCAGAACACTTAGTATTGAATTGCTGTCATCTTTTTACAAACTAAAATCTGTAATAGCTATGCAGGACAAATACAGGCAGTCTTCACTTAATGACTGCCCTATTTCAAAGTTCAAATTTTTAACTTTGTGCAAAGTTGCAACAGTCATGGAAAGATACGACTAGTCCTCACTCTTACAACCATTGCAGCATCCCTGAAGTCACGTGACAGACATTCAGGTGTTTTGTAACTGACAGATGTTTATGACGATTAGAGTATCCCATGGCCATGTGATTACCATTTGCAAACTTCACAGCAGCTTCCAACAAGCAAAGTCATTTGGGAAGCCAGCAGGAAATCACAAGTCACACTCACTTTATTTATTTATTTGTTTGATTAATTGATTGGTTTCTATGGCTGCCAAGTAATTCATTATGTCTTTCTTAACTCTAGGTGATTCGCCAGAGTAGAAGTGATGTTGTAAGTCCAACATGGTCATGTGATGTTTCACTTAACAACCAACTCACTTAGTAACAGAGTTGCTGGTCCCAGTTGCAGTCATTAAGTAATACATTACTACCTGTAATCTTAAATGTAACATAAGTGTCCTCTATAGGTTTAAAGCAGGGGTGTCAAACTGAAGGCCCGGTGGCCAGATCTGGCCTGCAAGGCCACCCCGGAAATAGTGAAGGACCAGCCTTCAATGCCTCTGCCAGTGAAAACAGAGCTCGTGAGGGCTGCGTGCAGCCCTCCCGAGCTCCATTTTTGCTGGCAGAGGGCTGCAGGAGGCCATTCCAGCTGAAAACAGAGCTCGGGAGCCTGTTTTCGCTGGCAGAGCGCTCAGGCCACCACAGGTGCCCCCCCCCCGACACAAGTGATGTCATGCTAACCATGTCCAGCCTGGCCACACCCACCCCACCCCCCTGAAGTCAAACACAACCCTGATGTGGCCCTCAATGGAATTGAGTTTTACACCCCTGGTCTAAAGAAACCTGCCTAGCAAATACATTTCCAAAACTAAACTATTTCTGAAACTAAGCCCAGAACAGGATACAGAACCATTTCCATAGAATCTGAAGTGTAATAAATGGAAGATCACATCAGACATTAAAAAGTAAGAATGGGGACTTGTTCCCCCAAGATAACATGCTGAGCAGTGGGCATTTTTTCTCTCTCCTGCTGACAAACAGCTGATTTCAAAACCAAAGATGGTTATTTTGTGACTTTGCTCCCTAGATTCAAATAGGAGCAACTAAG